GTAATTTAGCCCAAGAGAGTTCCGTACGTGCAGAGTCAATAAAGTCGACTCGACAACTTCACAATGAACTTTGTAGGTAATCTGAGGAGGATCTTATAGGATTGTATTTTATTTACATATGACTCTTGCTTGGTCTAGAAGCTTTAGACTGGTATCAGTATGCATAGGTATGAGTCAATTTATAATTTTGTCATATTGTTTCTAGTTTGGTTACATTGTGGGCTATACCTACCATCCTTGGCTACCATCTGATTGTCCGTAACAAAATAGTTGTTGTCTATGCAGTCTACGATTACTTCGATGCCAACTTAAGATAGGCTTAAAAACCAAGCGACGCGACAACGACGCGCGTCGTTGTCGCCGTCAAATTTTGACGGCGTCGTTGTCGCTGCGGTCTTGTAGAAAAACCCGACCGCATCCCATACAAACTCTAAGCTTCTCAGCGCGTTGTCAACGTGACGGCGTCGTGGCGCGCCGCAACGACGCCGGCGCTCGGTTTTTCTGGTTCCCCATACAAACCAGTCATTTGACAGCGGCAACGACGCGCGTCGTTGTCGCTGTCGCTTGGTTTTTAAGCCCACCTTTATTCTCATACAAATACGGTTTATGTCAAACCCTAGTGTCAAACGGTTTTACAGACACATCCGTCGGTGCAGCGTATACATAAACCGTATTTGTATGAAAATAGGTAAGGTGGAAAATCGCATATCCTAACGCTTGCGATAGCGCTGCGTAAAACAACGCACAAGCGGACGTTCCTTGTGATTCTTCATGTCAGAGGTCTAATGATGTGCTAACCGGTAGAAAATCTCAGACATCAAGGTAGACAGACATCCCTAGTACTATTATTTATTCTATGTCAGAGTTTTTCAGTTCGGTGGTCGACTCGGTGATGTACTGGTCTGGTATGAACTGATGTCTCCCAAGAAAGATAAGCTTCAGTTGGAATTCATTGACCTTTGAACGGTCACGTACTTAGAGCTGAACTGCTGTTGTAAGTTGAGCAATCTACCGAACTGCCAAGTTATCAAGCTGGTAGCTTAATAAAACTTGCCAAGACCAGACTGGGAGCTGGTAGACGTGGCGTCTGTTTATCAAAGTTATTACGTCAGTTTTGAATTAGATTTATATAAGGCGTAATAAAAAAAACTACAAATACTAATTTACATTTCTGAAGATAACAATATGCCACTGAGTGCATTAAAATCATTTAGGACCAAAATGTTGAATTCCTAAAATATCCCAAATATTTGAGCGGGTGAACCAACCCGTGAAATTGAACAACTTTCCCCAAGGAACATAGGTTTAAATATGAAAAAAAAAAAGAACAAGGGAAGTTCTACATTTTTAATGCTGGTTATTTTCTAAAACAACTTTGACACGGAACTTTATTTAGGTTTTAAGGGAGGCTGTGAAGCTAATAATGTATAGCACTTCTTTGACAACTATTATGACATCACATCATCAATTTATCATCATCAGCATCACACACGAAGTTATACGAGGCCGTCTGAAGTGTGTAGAATCATAATATAGAAGAGCATATGGGATATTCATTATATAGACGCTAGATAAAACGCTTAAAGGGTAAACTGATTGACCGATCTATACGTATAATCCCTTTACAAGAGAAAAAAGTAGTGCACTTAAATGAAATCGTTCTTTAAAGATCCTAGACTGCCACAAGCGGCAGCAAAGAGTGCCTTGGACAATGTAATGGACCTTCTCAACCAACTAAATGTGCTTTAAAATCCTTTTGGAGGAGAAATAAAAAGAGAGAACGCCGCCTTATCTGCGGGCGACCATTTCTATAAGGCTTGATTTACACGAGCCGGAGTTCAAACGCATGATCTGAAACGATCTTTATTTCAAAGCTTTTGCGGTCTTCTATCGTGTAAGAAATTTTAAAAATCTGAGATAAAACCTTACTAAAGAGAAAATGCTTTTTAAAATAATAATCAGCAAAACTACTAGGTTATTGTTAAAAGAATTTATCAAATTTTTCAAGCAAATAGTCATAGCTCTACATTTGATCGTGCCCCTCCTGCCAAGACGAGCCAACCTTATATTCCATATTGACACTAGTCATGTCAAAACCATGTCAAAGTTTAGTTGAGTAGTGGGCTGTTAAAACCTTTGACATCTGGGTTCACTGGGTTGTTCATCGATTCAGTGCCACTTACGATAGAAATAGACCTTATGTTCTACGACTGAACTATACTGAAAAATGGAATCATGTTATTCCTACGGATAAAGCAGTTGCAGGTAGGCAGAGCGTGAATGGCTGTAAAAACGCCCATTTACATCAGGTCTGGCAAAAGTTTGAGAGTCATTCAGAAGACTGTGTATCACCATAATGACAAGTTGTCACCACACGGCATATACGTCATATAACTTATAAAATGTACCCAATGTGAACTCCCCCTAGTTGCCCTTTAAACTGCTTCAGATCTGTCGAAGAAAGTGGCTTTTCAGACCCCTTTAATTAACTTCCCACATTTAAAAAATACCTAATCGTAAACTCCACCAAGCTTCTTCTTCACGGCAACCAATCAATGAACGATACAATGCACTCTGGTGTAGCAGTATTACCTATACAGCCACAACAGTCCACTGCTGAACATGGGCTAATCCTTCCCTTCTCATGGGGTGATGCCATATGGTTGCCATAGTCACTATGCTTGGCAAGCGAATTCGCGAGCGCAGCGCAAGATGTATTTAAGCCTCTAAAATCATCTATTTTAAAAGGATATACCTAAGTAGGTGATCCCCGCTTAGATTCCACTTGTTTACGCGAAGATATCTTTTGCAATCATGTAGGTAACGCTGTGATTGCCTGTGATACATAATGCTATAATATAACATTGACAGTGACACAATTTCCTTGACCGTCTAATTCGCAAGGAATAAAGGCGCAATCATGTATCGATCAAGTATCGATGGTCTGTGTACTATATGTGTATTTTATGTTCCGAGAAGATACATTACTGCGCGAACCCAAAAAAAACGTCTACATTACCCTATATTAGCGTTGACACGTTCGAATCACATGTGCTAAGACGGATTTCCGAACGTAACAAAGAAAAATCAGCCCAAAATTCAAACATTCCCTTGAATCCGCTACTTATTCCACCTCAACAATTACTATTGATTCTTGCTGCGTTTGAAATAAGGTCGCGAATCGATGGAAATTGTTCCTAACAGCTGGTAAAATAAAGTTGGTATTCAGGAAAAGCGGAAGCCTTCATTTGCCCTGATTTTCTTCCCATCCTCATTATGTTCGCACAAAATAAAGCAATTTCATACGCGACGTGGAAATGTCGCGGTGATTTTTCTCTTTTGACTTAGAAAGTATAAGCGATATGGAGGCGGCATATTAAAAAGGATTTGCGCCTTTGATCGTACACTTGCTTGTGTGATAGATTTTGCTGTAGCATGGGAACACGTATTTTAATCTCGCTGAGACGATAAAAGTATCTGCTTACTAGCATCAATCAAAGTGAAGCGTGACTATCTGTGCTTGAGACTACCTACACTTTCTTTTATTTACTTCTATCGTGTGTGGGGAAAACAGAAAAACTGAGGATATCACTTTGCATGAAATTGCAAAAATAGAATACCAAATTTTAAAACACTTCTCGTGTTAGGTATGTAATGTAGCCCGGACTAGCTAGCAGCGGGAAGCGCTGGACTACATGGACATTAAATGAGCTCGGGTGTGAGTGTGTGGGATCAGACAGGAATGATACACAGAGTTACACAAATACAGGTTTTATTACATTAATAAAAGCTTCGCACAAATTACAAGTTGGCTGTTAAAGTGATATAACGATACCCTAACGGCGGGGTTGCTTCGAGGAGTCCGGGAGGGTGTAGCGGGAGCGGGCAGCTGGGCTGAGTCCTGACGGAAGGCGGCGGCGGTGACGGCGGTGATAGCGGTGATGTTCCCTGGGGAGAGAGACCGAGTTAGAGCAAGCGTTATGATGGGTGCTTGGGGCCCCTACCGTAGTCAAGGTAGGGGTGTTGATGGTGGTTGAACAATGAGTGCAGTAAAGCGGCAGGGATGGCTATCCCTCGGGTTGATCACGCTGGATCGAGTTACGGTTCGGGTTCTGTGGGAGTGTATCCACACTCTACAGGAATAGCGGGTGCACTCAGCGACGGGCCCTCGGCAATATAGGGCTAGCGGGATGCGGTGAATGACGGTATGGGGGTGTATTTCGGTGCGTGCTAAGCGTGGGGTAAGCAAGCGACTTAGGGATGTGGCCTACGGATGCGTGGGTACGCAAAAGGGTGTCCCGGCAGTGTGCGTCGCGCCTACAGGAGCGCGGATCGCTTGGTTGATGTTGTGTCGCGCCTACAGGAGCGCGGATCACGGGCAGGGGTTGTGTCGCGCCTACAGGAGCGCAGACCACGGGGGTCGGGATTGTGTCGCGCCTACAGGAGCGCGGATCACGGAGGCTGGGATTGTGTCGCGCCTACAGGAGCGCAGACCACGGGGTAGTAATAGTGGAAAGCCTGAATGATGGTCGCACAGCAGAACTTCAGCGCTTAAATGAATAGCCACAGAATAAAAGTAGAGTAAGGGTATCTTACGTTTTATCAACCAGCTGCCGGGACGGTACGGACGGTCTCAATCTCTCCCAGGTTGACGGCTCGATGTCCTCTCGACGAGACGGTTGCGCAGGAGTGGAGAAAGTCGATATAAATTAAATACTCAGCTTCCAATATCCAGCGGTGAGCGGAGGCCGGAGGTGGACGACTGGCTCGGTTGGGCTTGCGGTGCAGACGACTAGTTCGTTCGGGGCGAAGGCACGGACTGGCGGAGACTGAGGCTCCGGCGTCGTGCGGCTGCTTAAGTAGGGCGTGCGGTGGGGGCTGGCGGCGTAGCACGCGCGCCGGGCTATTCCCGCTTGCCCCAGCTTGGGGCTCCATCACAGGTATACAATTTTTGGAAAACTTGCAAAATTTACCACCATTAATTCGCAGATTGGATTGGAACCGCGGTAGCCCAGTTGGTAGAGTACAGATGTCGAAGGTCGCAGGTTCAAATCCTGCCTGCGGTGGAAAATTTTGCAAGTTTTCCAAAAATTGCAAAATGAAATGGCAACAGTGATTACAAATGGCAAAAATTTTGTTTATCCCATTTAATTTAATGTCAGGACTTTTTAGAGGTAGACAGATCAGATCACAGACTGTATGTACCTACCGAGTTGAGGAATGCAATTAGGTATGTGTAAACATATTTCAAATCCTACATAATGTGAAACGTTAATTTGGTTATTTTTTTATTATTGGTCTAAGATCCCTAAAATATGGAACTACATTTTTTGATATAATGATGGTTTTGTATGATAGATAATGAATTTAAGTACAAAATGCGCATATAAGAAATTGTCTAGCTTGGTTTTTAAGTTCCTATTTGGTTCGTAAGGTGTTAAACAATTTATTAACTAAATTAATTTTTGATAAAGTTTTCCTTTATCATCGCTCAGCTAATTTTAACCAATGTTCCTAGAAGAAAGTTGTTTAGTTTCATGCGTTGCTTCACACATTGGAATATTTTTAGCTTTTTATTTTTCATCCTCTAGCTAGATAATGATACTGATTTACAAGAGTCAATCAGATTGAGTGAATACAAGTCGTGATGAGGCGCCTTCGGAACGACTCTTAGAGCCTAATCACACTAGCGGTTTGGGAGCGGATGCGGAGCGTGGTGAGTATGGAAATATAACCTGATGCATAGAAGAAAGGGACCCAAAATTGCAAAATTATTGAATGCGTATTTTTCATAGGTATTGACATGACATTTGAGCAGTATGTCAACAATAATGTTGCCATTTCGCGTCCCTTTCTTCTATGAATCAAGTTAAATGCCCTCCGATACGGGGAAGGTCTATGTCCAGCAGCAGTGACTATTGTGTCTGTAAAGGTAAGGTAAGGCACGGCGGATACCAGCGGTACTTGTACCAAAACGTTCCAAATCCGCCGTGCGTTCGTGACGATTTCGCTGCGCACCCGATTCGCTCCGCATCCGCTTTCGAACCGTTTGTGTGATAAGATAAGTCTCTTAGCCGCGCCAGAGACGAACTTTGCTTACGATCGATGCCTCTTCAATTTCACGCGGTATTTGCTTTGCTGAAGGCAGCCAGCGATCGTGCTGCGTTTAGACGTCTTTTTATGATGTCGTACACAAAAGGTGAAAACGGAACCGTAATAATGAGACTTCGCTGTCCGTCTGTCACCACTCACCAGGCTGCAGAGTGCGTTTCATCTTATAGTTCCTATGGCGTCATGTTGGTAGCATTGGAAATTTGCATGTATAGTGCGTTTCATTTTATAGTTCCTATGGCGTCATGTTGGCAGCATTGGAAAATTGTATGAAAATTTAATGGCGGCAATAATATTACATACAAATTTCCAATGCTACCAACATGACGCCATAGGAATTATAAAATGAAACGCACTTTAATATTACTGCCGCCATAAAATTTACATACAAATTTCCAATGCTGCCAATATGACGCCATAGGAACTACCTATAAGATGAAACACACTAACCTTATAAACTGTCATAGCTAGACAGTGGATCACAGAAGCCGATATTTCTGTTGCCGCTAGAACAACAAATACTTAAAATTAGAATAAAATAAAAATCAAGGCGGGCTCGCGTATAAAAAACGTGATTTTTATGCAACTTTTAATACAACATGGCACATGCAACGCTTCGCGTGCGAGTCTGACTCGCACTTGACCGATTTTTTTGTTTGCTGTATTTCTACTTAAACAGCTACAACATTCCACTGCTGGACACGGGCCTCTTCTAATTGGATGGCATTTGCCAAAGTACCACGCTTCGTAGGCGTGTTGTGCGTTTTTTATGCTGCCAGATTAAAACGTGGTATTCCGTGTCGTGCGGACTTAGATCGCCGGGTGGTGCCGGCTTAGAACAGCATCACCCCATATCTTGTAGTAAGCAGCAATAAGGAATTTGAGAGTTGATGTGTATTGTAATTTTAGGCACTAAGATATGACTATACCTATGACTATGAGCCTTTTGAATGACTCTCAAACTTCTTTTTCCAGGCGTGTAAATGGCCGTTTTTACAGCCGTTTATCAAATTTTAAATATTGTTTTCACTCGTTTGTGAATATCAACATTATGGCCAACTCTATTTGTCTTTGATGGTGTAATTAGCTACTGGAATGAAATCTAAACGAAGCACAAGCGATGAAGTATTCTTTTAGTTTTCCTTGCAAAGCAGATGAAATATTTTGTTTGTTTTATTTTCTTGTCGAGACCCTTTCGGTTCGTCGAGCGCATACATTAAGTTCTGAATTGATTAGTTGGCATTTCGTGAAGTTCTCCAATCATTTATGACGTTGTAACTGAATATAGATGTGGAAAAAAAATGTGTGTGTGTGTGTGTGTGTGTGTTTGTGTGTGTGTGTGTGTCGTGCATGTTTGTGGTGTTTGTTCATTTTCAAAGGGCCTAAAAATTGTTAGATAAAAAAGAAAAAAGCGCTAGACATGCGTTCAATGAGCGTTTATATTTTATGTAAAAGTTTCCAGTAAAAACTTGAAGGTAGAAGGTTCTAAAAATCTAAAGACTGAACGATTGAAATCACAAACAATTTTGTAGCTAACTTAGCGAAAAAAGGTGGTTTTTATGATTTATAAAATTGTACCGCATGACAGATCATTTTCAATTTTATATGCCAAAACTAACAAGAATTTGAGAAAATTGCTTCACTAATAGAATTTTGAAATCCTAAAACAGGACATGGCTTAACGGTTGAAAAACCAAGTTACGAGTACAAAATTCTCCATAAAAGTTTGTTTATTTGTTTATAATTATAATAAAATGTATTCTTTAAAGAGACGACATAAGTCATATAAGCATATAATGTATTTGGAGAAAATATGTATGATCTTGACATATTATGCGACTACTTCAGAAGGGCGGGTATCTTCCTTTTGCGTTTAACAATTATTATGATTGTTATTCTTTTTGGCGGTTTCTTTGGAGCACTTTCGCTGTAAAGATATAAAAAATATATAATATATAATAGCAAAAAGACAAACATACTAGTGGTCAAAGTTTCACAAGCGGCATAGTGTATTGCGTGAAAGAATATGGCATTTTCCTGTGGTAAAAAGCAGTATATATTACTCAAGGATGTTGTAGCTTTCTAAAGATAAAAGAAGTTTATGGTTTGCAAAGGTAGGTATATAAAAATCTTTCCTCTATATTATTGCTATTGTCGATGTATGGTGATAGATAGCTTAGCTTTTATAATATTCCCAAATGGGTATGAAAAAAGAAATGATCACACTTATATTTCTGTAGCTTCAATTCGTGGTGTAAAATGAAGTCGGTTTTTGCGTTTCTCTGTCTGTCAGTCGGTCCCGTCGTAGAATTCACTCCTCCTGACGGATTTTGATGCGGTGTTTTGTAATAGATAGAGTGATTCAAGAGAAAGTTTATGTATAACTCATGCCGGGAAAACGAGTTGCAGCATTGAAACCGCTAACGGGCCGCTAGTTTTATACAAAAATAATTTTAGAATAGATCAAACATTGAATAAATTATGATCCAGCTTACTTGACACAAGTTTTTTGTTCATATTCGCCATCGTCATCATCTAATTCAGCACCGCTTCTTAAAATGCCCCCTCTGTACAAGCATTTCATTATTTCAGGCATATGTTTATTTTGATCAACGTCTTCATCATCTTTTTTATGATCTGTTTCGTCATCTTTTTTATCATGTTTTTTCTTATCATCAACAATTTTGGAGAAACATTTAAAAACTGATCTATATCCACGTGGAACTTTTTTCTTCAGCGCGTCTTTAGCATCTTTTTTGAGTTTGGCTGCATCGTAGTCTTTTGTACATTCTTTTATTATTCGTGCTTTGTAGCCTATAGTGTTTGGAGGAATGTGGCTGGCTGCGGTTGTCGTGCAGTTAATAAAATTTGCTAGATCTTGGTTAACGTCTTTCCACTCATCTTCTTTTTCTTCGTCAGGTTCAGGCTTTCCCGGTTCAGGTTCAGGTTTTTCGGGTACAGGCTCAGGTGCGGCTGTTGTTTCGGGTTTTGGTTCGGGTTCAGGTTCAGGATTTTCGGGTTCAGGTGAGGCTGTTGTTTCGGGTTCAGGTTTTTCAGGTTCAGGTTCAGGTGCTGATGTTGGCTCGGGTGTTTGTTCGGGTTCAGGTTCAGGATTTTCGGGTTCAGGTTCAGGTGCGGCCGTTGTTTTCGGTGTTGGTTCAGGTTCAGGTTCAGGATTTTCGTGTCCAGGATTTTCAGGTGCGGCTGTTGCTCCGGGTGTTGGTTCGGGTTCAGGTTCAGGTTTTTCGGGATCAGGTTCAGGTGCGGCTGTTGTTTCGGGTGTTTGTTCGGGTTCGGGCTGAGGTTCTGGTTTTTCGGGTTCAGGTTCAGGTGCGGCCGTTGTTTCGGGATTGGGTTCGGGTTCAGGCTCGGTTCCAGGGTCATCATCATCTTCAAGTTCATCATATCCGTAATCATATTCTCTTCTATACCGATCTTCTTCAGTTCTTAAATATGAACGCAGATATTGTTTAGCCCAATTCCATTGAGAATGACTTAATTGTACTAATTGACCATCTCTATCAATAATGAATACTGAAATAAATATTTGGTAAATAATCACGAAAGATTCCATGTATCAAAATACTAAACTCTTCATTACAAGTTTATGTTGATTAATAGTCTTTGTCAAAATTGCAAAATTTTCCACCGCAGGCAAGATTTGAACCTGCAACTTTCGCTATTTGTATACTGGCGACGCCTCTAATAACTGGGCTACCGCGGCTAAATCTTAAAAAGGTGCATCTAAGCCGCTAGATAACGCCAATCAGTAGTAATAATTGTTATTGATCAATAGTTTTGTTTCACATTAACTATAATTTTAGTGCACACCAAAAAACAATGTATTAAAGAAGTATGTACAATAATATATATAAATTATTACAATCTTTTACTAAAATATTTACCTTTGGAAAATGTTGAATCGACAACCAGAAGTAAACACGCGAATTTCAAA